AAGCATGAACTCATATTAACAAGTCAAGAAATTATATGAACAATAACAACAACAAAGTAGAAGTAGTTGAAATCAAACATTCAACTAAAGATGTCCTAGTATTGATTGCTATGGAATGCTATGGCATGCCAAGAATCAAAAAGACAAAAAGACAATACAGTTTAAAATTCTTGAAATTCTTGAAATTCTTTCCTCATAAAACAATCATCTAATTTCTTTCCCATATTCTCATTTGCAGAATGACTACTGTCGGCTGTCAAGCCAGTGTAAGGACTATGTGGTGGGTTTGTTGGATCTATGTCGTAGCACAGAGGAGGTGGAGGCCATCATGAGCGGAGAGACTGATGCTGAAGACAGTTATGAGCTCCCAGCGCGACCTCCCCTCACCCGACTCAAACTGGCCATCAAATATGAACTCAAAAAGGTAAGAAAAAATAAGTCTATTATGACTGATGTTTTATTAATTTTTTAAAAGAATCTTTTTGAACTTTAAGCCTTGAGTATATTCATGATTTTGTGTTTCTTTTGTTTTCAGTTTGTGGCCCATCCAAACTGCCAGCAGCAGCTCTTGAGTATCTGGTATGATAACCTGCCTGGTCTGAGACAACAGACCACTGCAGTCAAACTCTTGGTGGTATTCGCTGTGGCAATGGGACTTCCTGTTTTAGCATTGGCTTACTGGGTCGCCCCCTGCAGCAGAGTAAGTAGTAAACATATTTTTGATCAGTTGTAGTGTCTTAACTATTATAAAACAATTTGATTAATATATACTGTATATATATAATCGAAAACTGTCCATGCTCTACTGCGGTCTGTCTATGATTCTTACTTTGTTCGTTTGTTATTTTATAGGTTGGAAAGGTGATGCGAAGCCCTTTCATGAAGTTTGTGGCGCATGCTTCTTCCTTCACGATCTTTCTGGGGCTTCTCATCCTGAATGCCGCAGACCGGTTTGCAGGGACCAATCTGCTGGCCAACATGACCCACCACCAACTTCAGGATGGGGCTGGGTCTGACCCCCTGCTCCTGTACCGCACCACAACTACCCCCTTCACCTGGATGGAGATACTCATACTGTCTTGGATCATGGGTAAATGTGTTAAAGATCCACTATGTGGGGCTTAATCAATTCAATTGATTCATTGAATTTTAAGATTAAAAAAAAAAAAGTTTTATTTCTCATACTTTCTTGCATTAGAAATAGCTGTTTTTGCACATTACAAAGGAGAGAAAAGCAAAGGAGTTTAGCAAAGCAAAAACTGACTGCTCTGAAATCACATAAGTCAAATTAAATGTTGTGAAAATGCAAATCAAGTCTTTTGTCCAACATCTACATGTTTAATGCCACAACACTGTAAGGATTATTCATAAAATGGAGATACTTTTTCCCCAGTGGCCCATGTACATATTGATTTTGAATAACAACCTATCACTGATAACACCTATTGTTTATTTTGAAGGTTTAAACCTCTTTCAATAAAGCATGCAGGGTTGCAGATAAATGTATTTGGCATGTATTAATTTGACATATTACATATTATTATATGTAGCCCTAATACAGAATTGTTTGTATAGGAATGATCTGGGCTGAGGTGAAGGAGATCTGGAGCCAGGGTCCTGGAGAGTATTTGGTCGAACCATGGAATTTTCTGGACTTTGGAATGTTGGCGATATTTTTGGCTTTTTTCAGCTGCCGTGTGTCTGCTCTGAGACACGCTGACTCAGCCCAGGCCTTTGTCTATAAACATTACACCAGTTTGGTCAATGTGACGCTGCCCCCCGAGATACACTACTTCACTTTGGGTATGTCACTACTATCACCTGTCTCCTTAATCGATCCCTGTCTAATAATGGATTTTAACATTATCACACCTCACATCATTTAATGTCAGCCTTTACCGCTACTTCATTATTACAGGGAGAAGTTATGCAGTCAGGCCAACTAAAACCACAAATATAAAAATGTTTCAAAGTTCTTCATGTTACTGTTGTTTCTTTATCTGCTCCACCATCTTCTAATTACATGGATTTCTCAACTAATTTCTCCTCTTGAATGATTGTGAGTCTGTCTGTCATTGTCTTGGTAAAGCTGCATTTTGTAACTTTTCTGGTGGAAATCTGGCTCCTGCTTGTGTCTTTTGAAATGTTATTGCCTTGCCTGGAATGTCCCACAGTATTGCACTTACACTGTATACCTTGTATGTATTGAATTAGGTGTTTTTATTGGCTTTAAAAACATGCATTCATACTGTGAGTCCACCAGATCTGAGCTGTAACTTGGTACTGTAACTTGCTACCTGCGCATCTTCATGAAGACTTTTAACTTTAAAACATTCCAGGCAGGACCATTACCTAGAAAAGTGACAGTGCATTTCTGTTACATTTTCAATCAAAAGAGTATTTATGTACTTTTTTTTAGCGCGAATCTCCTGGCTGCCGTCCGACCCACAGCTGGTGTCCGAGGGCCTTTATGCAGTGGCTGTGGTGCTGAGTTTCTCCAGAATTGCCTACATCCTCCCAGCCAACGAGAGCTTTGGCCCCCTGCAGATTTCTCTGGGTCGAACAGTCAAAGACATCTTTAAGTTCATGGTCATCTTCCTCCTGGTGTTTCTGGCTTTCATGATCGGCATGTTTAACCTATACTCGTACTATCTGGGGGCCAAGCAGAATGATGCTTTTACCACGTGAGCCCTTCTTTGTGCTTACACTGCACTTCTACATGTAAAACTATCATGTCTTGCCTTAGAGGTTTGAAAAAATTAAGAAAGGTATTCAAGTTAATTGGGTAATTCATGACCCCAAAGCATAAAATTATACCAAAAAATCTCAGAAACTTTATAAACTACAAAATGTATTGATGCATTTAGCCTTGTTTTTTCTTTTTTATTATTATTATTATAGTTGTATTATGTAATCATGAGATTATTTGATCAGAATGGTATTTCAAATTAGCACAAAGCACTATAGTTTGCAGATCATGAATAAAAATGGGGTCAGTAGTTCAGTGAAGTTGTGTGCCAACAGCTTTGGTAGTGCTGTAGATAATGAATCAGTCACATGGACGGAATATTAACACATTTACAAAATACTCAACTATCCATTCAAATGTGAGATGTGATGTGAGCAAGTTATCATCTGTAATGGGACTTCTCAGGCCATTTTAAAGTATCGTTCAAACAAATGAACAGCTGCCTGGAAGCTGAAGTCCCGTGTGCCATTTAATCTTGAAATATTTTGACAAGGAATGTAAATATTTCAAAGATATAAACAGACCCAAAACTCATCAGTGAAAAGCATGCTCCCAGTGAGTATTTCTACTCTAATATTTAAGATTTAATATGAGTTGTCCTTGTTTTTTCTGGGGCAGGTTGGAGGAGAGTTTCAAGACCTTGTTCTGGGCTATTTTTGGACTTTCTGAGGTCAGATCTGTGGTCATCAACAATGGGCATAAATTTATTGAAAACATTGGTTACGTCCTATATGGGGTCTACAACGTTACCATGGTGATAGTGCTGCTCAACATGCTCATTGCAATGATCAACAGCTCCTTCCAAGAGATTGAGGTGAGGCCTACATTACATGGTACACTGGTACTAATTTTCCTACAGCAGATACAGATGTTGCTTTAACTTATGCACAGGAGATCTTAAGATGTCTCATTCGTCCCCTCTGCTGTAGGATGATGCTGATGTGGAGTGGAAGTTTGCCCGTGCTAAACTATGGTTCTCGTATTTTGAGGAGGGGCGCACACTGCCTGTACCATTCAACCTGGTCCCAAGTCCCAAGTCGGCTGTGGGTTTGGTCACGGCGCTCCGCTCCCTGGTCTTCTATTACATGTTAGGGCACAGTGGGGAGGAAACTGAAACTGAACTAAATCAGGTATATGTCTCACATGTTATTATTGTATTAGACTCATTTTAAGTTACTGCTTGAAGAAATTTATTTTTGTATGACCTTGATTATGTAACTGAATTATGTTTGTTTTCTGGCAAGGCAAGTTTTAATGTTTAGATTTTGAATGACTAATATGGCTTATATACAGCCTTGATGTTGTGGATTAAATTTTTCCAAATTCTATATCAAATGTCCACAGTATAGCATTAAATTTAAGAAAAGCAAACATACTCTATCTTGAAGACATGCAGGTCAAGCTGCAGGTCAGAACTGTGGTGAAAGGGTCACTTACAGTAACAATATATGCTTTGAAAGGTTTCATGTAATTTATGAACTTTAATATCATACCATACTATCTCCATTGTAACAAGCAAAAGATGCATCTCTCACTAGAAATGTAACATAGTGCTAATTTTAATGTTTTGAACAGGAATGAAAATACAGAACTTTAGCACCTCCCAGTGGCTTTGTCTGATACTTTATGTATAATGGTCTATTTTAGCTTGGAGACAGCAAGTCATCTGGATATGGTTCTTCCTCGAGTCCAACACGATATCAGGTCTGTGCAATAGACTGTTATTTATACTATACATGTATTTATTTGTACAGTGATGTTTATAAAACCTAACCTTACCACCTTGTTTTGTGCAGAAGATCATGAAGCGACTTATAAAACGCTACATCATCAAGGCACAAGCTGACAGAGAGAGTGATGAGATTACTGAAGGTAAATAATATAAGTGATTTTGTACTTTGTCAAATAAAATAAAGTCTTCTCTTGAATGTACTATATATTTTCAGGAGAGCTAAAGGAAATAAAGCAGGATATCTCCAGTTTGAGATACGAGCTGCTAGAGGAGAAATCCCTGAACATGGAAAACCTGGATGGGCTGCTTCAGAGATTGGCTCAGACTGGAACGAAGTCTGAGTGACCAACAAGATCAACTGAGGACTTATAATAAATAAATGTGATGCTTAAGCATACAACATAAGCAGTATTAATGTATTATAAATGAAATACTGTACCATAAGATGTAATTTTATGTAATATTTTCTTTTATATTTAATAAATAACAAACATCACTCAGTTTTACTGGTTGACTTAATTTAATTTGGTGTGTATATATTTTGTTTGTATGCATTGTCTTCATGTAAATATTAGCAGATTGTCACCTTTTAAAGTCAGTAATGCACCAAAAACAGAAATTGTTTGGATTTAATGCAGTTCAGAATAATGATCTGGATCCAGGATGGAGGTTTTAGCTCAGCTGAGGTCTGAAATCACAAAATCTTCCATTGTAATACCTGGTGTAATCTGTAATACTTATCAGTCAACAACAACTTCATGAAATGTTTAGTTTATTTCAACAACAAAAATAATGACAATCAGTAGATGTCAGATTCCATAGCAGTTCATTTAATCACAGACATTTATCTTCATGAATGTTAATTTGGTCAGTTTAGTTAATTGAAATCAGCAAAACAAAGTAAAAGTCAGTCATGTGTGTTTCATAATGTTTAACAAAATTCCAATATACATAAATGAATATATACATAATGTCCAGAACCAAATACTGTTTCAGTCCATTTACATAAAATATATTACATCTTCGATCAGCAGCTATTGTAGGAACAAAAAATCATCCTAAGGTCTATTGTTAAAGTTAAAAGTCAGTTAAATGTAAGTGATGTAGTTTTCAGGGATGAGGCCAGTTCTACCTTTGTACGTGGCCTGAAGCCAGCCAGGCTCCACAGATGGATATACTGCAAACACAAGCATCCAGGTCAAGTCAGCAACCCCGCATGCAAAATGTTAAGTATATACACCATGACATTAGATGAGTAAAATAAAGAAGGTCAGAGTTACAGCACACAAATAAAAATATTTAATTGATCTCTCTCAAGGGACCTAAACATGCAGTAAATAAGACAAATGCACTTACCATTTGTGAATAGCGCCCCCTGTGGGAAACTGAGCTCATGGCTGTGCTCTGCCTCACATGAATAAAGAGCCTTTGCCTCCCTGGAAAAAGAAAGAATATTTGAGTAAAAAAAAAATTAAATTAAAATAAATAAATAAAACACTCAGTCTCTTTTGATCCTTTTGGAGATGGATTACCTTCCAGATATGTCTAAGGCTGAGGAAAACACTGAACTTTCTCGCTGTGGGCCTCGCACAGATGATCTGCAAAACCATCATTTTTTTAAAAGTTTCAATTGCTTTCATGGCATAGTGTTATATTGAAACATCTTGTCAATGACACATTTATAGAAAATATATCAAGTAAAATTATGGGTATCTTTTGTCAGTGCCTAAATGTTGTATCTTAAAAGACATTTCCTTTCTGACAAATAGTCTTAAACTATTTCCATGTGTGCTTGATCATAATGAGCAGATGTTGATGACGATGGGAGTAATATTGTAGACTCACAGAGACCCCGGGCTTTGGTATCCGTTGCTGGCGGTGGCTGCAGTGACTTTATGGCTCATATCCGACGCACAGCGCATGTGACACAGTTTACGTGTCACTTCCTGTGGGTCCAGAGACATGAGGCTCTGCACTGAACCATGACAGCTCTTGTAATCTGTAAACACGACAAAACACAGAGCTCTTACACTGAGCAAGGCAAATATTTATACTTATTACATTACAAGGGCACATCTTTATACAATTTTATTGTTAAATAATGATTGGCAAAGGCAAAATGTTTGTGTTTTTTTCCTGACAGGCATCAAATACTTTTTACATCAGTTTTATATAACCATACAGTTACAACAATGAATATTTAAATTTATATATAGAAGGATGTTTTAAATTGTTAAGTTTAAAGTTTAAATATGTTTAAAATATGTTTAAATATGTTTAAACAATAAATATAAGGCAAATAATAGGGGCAATGTTGTGATTTCTAGTAACTGACTGTTCCCTTAGGTCTTAATTAAATGGGGGATAAGTTACTATAACTTAACAAAGCCATACTTGAATATCAATTTGGACAAATGAGTTGTAATCATTACTTAAGTCAGCAAAGTGCAATCAATACCTTATGTTTAACAAATGTTTAACATAAGTGCTAATCTAATTGTTTTCTTTTTAAATAGTTATTAAATTATTATTTTCCTAGATATTAGAATTATCATAATATTGGCCATAGTTTGATATCACTTCAGTTCTTTATGTTTTGCTCCAATACACACCTTCTGAAATGTGCAGGGATGTGAGAGAGGAGGAAGTGGAGAGTCGATATGGAAACAGTGATGACGAGGAGGATGAGGAGGAAGAGGTCCTGTACGCCCGTGGCGGCTGCTTAGGTGTTTCATCTGATACTTTAGTTTCTGTAACAGCAGTGTGAGAGTGGGCGTTTTTTAAGGAACAGGAAGAAGGCGCTTTGTGGATGGTGGGATCCTTTGAAGCAGAGGAGGGTTCTTGGTGGGACGGGGTAGTTAAGGATGTCCTCGACTCTCTCAGTGAAGACAGTGACACAGTGGAGTCGCCTTTAGCTGAAAGTGTCCTATCTGTGCTTGAAACTAGAGAGGACATGGAGGACACTGAGGGGGTCTGCAGCTGGGATAGGCCGAGCTTGGAGGATGTCCAGGAGGAGGACAAGGATGTCTGAGGGGAGGACTTGGGAGGAGGAGGGTCTGGTTCTCTGGAGTCATTTTGGGAGCAGGAGGGAACTACCGGAAGGCATGAGCCAGATTCTGCAGCGGGAGACGAAGGAGGAGAGGTCTGGGATTGGCCATTTTTCTCTGAGGAGTGAGAGGACAGAGACTCCTGGCTGCCCATGGGGGTAGTGCTGGGGCTGCTGCTGAACGTGTCACCTGGGAAACAAACAACTGTCAAGTAAACATCAGGAGTTAGGGGTGGGTGATATGATAAAAATATATATATATTCTGAATGTTTTTTCCTCAATGATCAATCTCCAATTGGATTTTACTTTGTCTTAGAAATGACTTTTAATACCATCTTCCTGAATATAAAGTATATATATATAAATATATATATAAAATATACATACTTTTAATCACTGACATTTAAGTCAAAAAGTATTTTCTTTTCCCATATCTCCAATTCAACTTTATATTGTCATAGAATAAGACAAATTTTCAATAATAATTTCCTGAACATACTTAAAATTAGGATGAAAGAGTTCTATAAGTATTTCTATGATGAAACTTTTGTAATCACTCATAAGAAACCTGAGCCCTTCAATCATGCTGAAGAGAGCCTTACTGTCGTTGTCTGCCAGGCACAGAGTTGGAGGGTATAGGCGGGCCTTTCTCTTCCCAGATGACAGACAGATGGCTTTACTTCTGCGAGGAGTCGAGCGAGACGAAGGAGCCTGAGGCAGAGGCGCTGACAGGTCAGGAGGCTCACCAAAAATCTGACAGGGACAGAGAGTCAGTTTATCTGTAGAATATCCATGTGAAGGCTGTAGAGTTAAAGGACTTACTTTGTTGCAGTTTTCAATAATAATTTCCACAACAATGTTCTGAAATTTGATGTTCATCATAGCAGCTACTGTCTCCTCCTGTGACCTCATCAGTGTGGGACCAAAGATCATGCCCAGGTTCGACACGGTCATCATGTTTTGTTCACTCTGAGAGGAAACTCTGCAATGCAAAGTTTACCATCAGTCTAAGTAGTACCAACACAAAACTCACATAACAGATCATAACAGTATGTTTATGTTATACCTGAGGAGGTGCTTGGCTAAAATCTCCAACATATTTCTGTTTTTCTCTGGCAGTTTGTGGACAAGTGCATGTATGGCTCTCACTCTGTGTTTCTGGTCATCATACCCTGTCAAAGAAGACAAAATAAATGCAAAAAGTTTTAAAGAGCAGTTTGTTCATACATTTCATAGAGCTCATACAGGCCCCATATAACGTAGGTTATGTGAATAGTCAGAGGCTTATTTTAGGCTTCAAACACTAACGATGCCTTGAAAACTACCAATAAAATCATGGCACCCTATAACTTCCAAATCTATGACATAATTTAACATAAAGCTCTCTTACTTGCAGCCTTAATAAAATCTTTATGCAGCCTATAAGTCAGTAAAGGCTCTGCCAAGCATCTGTAACATAAAAATAAAATATGAGACTGTATTTGTGAATATGTTGTTCAAACTAATGCTTTAGCCTCTGTATCACCTGAAATAATTCTTCAGACCACTTGTGATGGTTTTATTGTCCCAAGCCTCGGCATCCAACTGCACATCTGAGGGAGCTGTGGATGCTGGGGAGGAGAAGAGTCATAATAATTCATGTGATAGATAAAAAGTGTTAAATGGATCAAGATTTATTTCATCACATTAAAAATAGCTTTAAAAAACAGATAAATCTCTTACAAAAAACACTGGTCATGAGTCGTTGCACTTTTGAGTTAACTCCCCCAGTTCTGTACAAGCCCAAGGTTGTGAGACCTGCAATCAAAGTGAAAAGTGTATTTTAGACAGTTGTTTATGTCATTTAAGTAGCTTTAATTGTATTACAGTGTACTATACCTCTCGATTCAACCAACTCAATGCACTTTTTTACAAAGTTGAAGCCTGCCTCATTGAGAAATGCTATAGAAGAAAACACATTTATACTAAACTGGTTCCTATCAATGGAGATGCTTTTTTGTATAGAAGGTTAATGACTTACTCTCCTCCTTTTTGCTGAGCAGAGAAGGCAGAGTGTAGATCTAAGAGTATAGAAGAGCATATAAATCAGTAAAAAACAAAACTCAAATAATAAAATACTCAAAGTTTTAGTGTTTTTACCGGCTCTTTCCCATCCATTGCTTCCATCCAGAGACGTCTGTTTGCATCAGAGAGAGCTTGTAGAGTAATAACACCATGTCTACAAAGAGAGAGAATACAGTCCATTATATCTAGACTAGACACAATACAATACAATACAATAACTGTTTTCAAGGTGAAACATGTTACCAACCTCTCCACCACTTCAATATCAAAACAGAAGCGCTTGTCGATTGAATCTGTTTTTCTTCTCACACATGAACGTAGTCTGAACATCTCTGGAGCCCCATTCACCACACCGTTCTGTCAACAGAGATGCACAGTGAAAACTGAGCTTTTCAGATTGTAAAAGTGGATTATTGTGGTAAGAACTTGTATAAAAGTACTTGTCTGTTGGCTGGTCGGGCGTCTGGGCTGCTCATGGTGAACATTTTGGAGCTTCTCTCATATGTACAGTAGTACCTTGTCCACACACTGCCCAGTGGACCTAACAACAGAAAACGTGAGGTTCTATGTAACCTAAAAACATAAAATTAATCCTCATTCAGCGTGTCTTACGTTTTTCTTGTATGTACAGGTATCCTTCCATAGTGTAGGGACTGGGCGCCTTGAAGTCTTCCTCTGCAGATCTGATCCTCTTCATCAGCCTCTCCACCTCTGCGCGAGTGCTTTCAAAGTTGTTTCTTGCCTAAAAGTAAACACATCTTACATATACTATATTTGATAATAATATGGCAAGTTATTCATAAAAAGATTAATTAGCAGTTACTGTATCAAATTATATTTTTTTAATACACTGTTAGTTTTGTGTTGAGACAAAAAATTTAAAACAATAACTAGATATTGTAATAATTGTTGCTTGACTTACATTCTGCAGGTTGAACTGCAGTTGCTGCTTGTAGGGGTCAAACTCACTGGCCAGCTCATAGCCCTCATGGTAAAATGTGAACAAGCCCTGAAGGAAGGCCAACAGCTGGAGAGCATAGATACAGCAATATAACAAGATATAAACGACACTTAAACATCACACTTTAATATGAGCAAATATGAGCTCTGCTCATTTCTACCATTGTTAATGTTTACCCCTCAACAAAGACTCTTCATCATCTTTCTTTCTTTGACACCCCGAGCCAAATTCTCTTTCTTTCTGTTTCTCTCTCTCCTCTTCACTCTCTTCCATATTTCTCCCTCTGCTCCATTTGCCTGACTAGCCAATCCAAAAGGGTCTGCAATCGGACCATAGAGCGTGAAAAACCTCAGTCCTAACTTAGGATGGTCCAACCACAGCTGCTAATTTGTAGAGAAGAGACATTTCTCAAATATAATATATAACTTCTTTTACCTGGAATAAAGAGTTTAGTGCTTATGATTTAGTGGTTGTTGATTCTGCAGAAATAGAGCTGTTTCCCACTCTTCTGTGTTTTTAAGTCACCATGTTTGTTTTTACCTGACTGGAGTATATGTCTCTCTGTCCTCTCTGGTTAATCCACCTGCCAATGCTTTCTCTCTCACAATCCCTTTCACTATCCAATAGCTAGCCATATAACTCTCCTCGCTTGCCCTCTCTCTCTCTCTCTCTCTCCCTCTCCCTGTCTCTCAGGAAGAGCCACTACAGAAACAGGAAGTGGGCTTTCCTGATATGTATAATTAAAACAGCTTTATCACTGGAGTGTAATCTGTGTTTTTCAGAAGCTGGTGAGACAGCATTTGTGTGATCAAGTATGAACCTGCTGCGTCATTACTGCCCTGGCTGCAATTATCATTTAAAAGTCAAATCATTGTTTACATCCTGCACACTCTGCACCCCTGCAGTGACAATAGAACACAGTTTCCACTCACCGGTTCAACAAACTCAAACTTCTTCCTCTCTTGGACCTCTTGGATTTTGAAGACATACTGCAGAGATGCGTCATAAAAAATCTGTCTGTCTTTGCTCATCTGTGAATCAGCCTACCAAAAAAGACACAAATGTCATTTACTCCTCTGTGCCCATTTGTTTGCCAACTGTTTAAATGTATGTTTTACAGTTTACCTCATGTAGCTGAGACTCTTTCTTTTTGGATGAAAGACTCAAGTGCTTTTCCAAAACTGAGTAGTATCTCTCTGTCTCTTTGTCGAACTGTTTCTTTCCCTCCTATGGGTCAATAAGAAAAAATATATATATATTTCATATATTTCACATATTCATGTCCTTTATTCATTTAACCGGACCTTCTGACTTAAACACAAGTTACATAAAATATATGCTTCTACATATTATACTATCTATATATTATGTATACTACAAATTCAAACTGAATGTCAGTACTAATAAAAAAGGCTTGATATTCAATGCACAGAAATAATAAAAAACATTTTCGACATGGAAAATTGTAGTTTCTATACACTACCAGTTAAAAATTCGGACACACCATCTCATTCAAGTTTTTTTTTTCTAGGTTTTTCCACTTTTGACATTTTACATACATACAGATGTCTGATGTCTTCCGTATGTATATAAACTGTAAAAAGCAGTAAGAAAAAAGAAAACACTGAATCACACAGCGTGTCCAAACTTAAACATACACTACCAGTATTTCTTTCTCAGTATTATGTAATACCTGTTCAAACAGATATCTAGTTTTAGTACTGATTACTGCCTAGTTAATTTCTGATAACCCTTCTACATATGAACAATGAAAGAAATACTATGGGTGGTTAATTTAAAATTTTGTTTTAATACATTCTAGTGCAGGTCCGTTTAGCATATACATTTAAAGGATGGATAATGGGGGTAAGCTGGTGTTTGTGTAGGTCTAGATGTGAACAGATAAAGGGCTAAGAATGAGCACAATAAAGAGAGTGGGTCCAAATATTTATATATAGTCTTTTCCCTGAGAGCTGCAGCCTCTGAGCTCCAGCCGTCTTACGCACAACTGCCACATTCTGCACGTCTCCTCAGTCACCACCATGCAATTTCACTTTCAGCATTATTACTTCCCACTTCTATTATTGTAACCTTTTTGACTATCATGACTCCTGCTATCTCTGCCTCTGGTTTTCTGTCTAAAAGTAGAGCACAAAAATGAGATAAAGTGATTTTGAGACTTGCCACAGCAGCTGAAACAAGACACCACATTTTGTGTTTACACTGCCTCTGTGTGTCCAGCTATCTGTCTGCTTCTGTCTTCCCATTCCCATGACCTTGCTACACACACTGCAATGTGACCTGTATGTTTTGTGAAAATAGCCCATGGCCAATTTATCTATTACTTTTTTTTTTTTTTTTTATCTCAATAACAGTATCTTTACACAGCCTATAAATTCATCACTGTATACCTTGACCGCTCCAATCTGTTCCTTTCGAAATCTCTCAAGTGGTGAAATCAACACATCATCTGCATTTTGAATCTGGAAATGAAAAAAGAAATATCAGGAAGTGTGGTATAATTGAAAAAACATCAAATGTAATTGGTTGATTCTGTTGGCATATCTTTATTTGTTTTGATGGAGCACAGACATAATAATCGAACACATAAAACAGTAGTTGTAGGGTTAAGGTTCACCTAAAGCTTTTTTTAATTCCTCTATTTACTATAATATCTTAGACCTTAGTAACCTGATAAGTCAAATAGCCGAAAGCAGCCAGTACAATTTACTAATGCAAGCTACAGCTGCTCCGAATTGCTTGAGCAGTAGCAGAGGATTTCACTAAATATTTCTTATAATGCAAAAGACTCCAGTGTAACATTTCAACACAATACTATAACTTTGTCTTTCAAAGCAAAATGAGACTGGGCATTAAACTGCATTTTAGCCACTGTATTTGGAAAGTGTAGTCACAAAAAAGCCCAAAACACAAGAGCTAAGGCAATAAGATGAGTGATTTCACATAAAAGTCTAACAATGCACAGTTTGTTTGGCATTAGATTAAAAATAGCACACACGTCCCCATAAAATTTACAGAAAGTATCCAGTGTTTCCCAAACTACATTTTATTACAGCTGACATCAAGTATGGGAAACACGCATGTGGAGGATGTTGAGTTAAGCTATTAAAAACTTATCAGACCCCTTGTGTTTGTACTGGGTCATTGTCCTCTCTAAGGCTATGCACAAAAATGTCTTGGTCACATCTTTCTTTGTTCTGTTCAATTCATTTAAACATTAAATAGTCAATTTTGAACACATTTTAAAGCATTAGATTTTCCTGGGCACAACTTTTCACAGGAACCTAAACAAAATCCCCATTAACTGAAGTGCATTGTGTCTGCATAATCATAGCTCTTTCAGCTTGAACAGGTAGTATACAGAAGAGGCCAATTAGGGGGAAATGCCCTTTAACTCAATAATGACAGCGTTATAAGGTGTTGAGACAAATAGGCCCCACTTCAACTGGAAAAGGGAAAAAGGAAAAACACACAGAGAGCCATTTACAGACTTTCCCAGGCAGTCAGCGCCCATGGTCTCACTGGGGAAACAGCAGAATGGGTTCCACATGGTTCTTCTGTAACCAGACCATGCATAGGCCCACGGCACACACACCAACACACAGAGTAATGTATATATGTGGTACGCGGGCTCCCCTAAATGCAGACGACTATGCCAGACTAGAGTTACTCCCACACAATGTCTACACTGAGGGGCTTTGAGTCTAGAGGCATTTTTCCTCCTGATTCACCATGGAGCACTCAACACTGCCGCTGGCATGTGGCTTTACCTTCAAAAAGTGTGAATCTGAGCAGTGGGAAAACCAAAAGAGGCTTTAAGAAATAAGTGGTGCATTCACAAGAGATTTGGGGCAAGAAAGAATGCTTTAAAAAGAACAGTTAAAGGTACAGTATGTAATTTTTCTGGAGGAGTTTTCACCAATGCTTTTCTCTTTTCAGATAATATTGCTTTGAATAAAATGTTCCAAGGTAAACTTATGTAGCTCACTGGAGGCAATCAGATGATTACAGGTCAGCTCTGTGGAGAGGCAACTACTCACCGTAAAAATACAATGTCTATTATTAAATAAAGGATCAAAAGTTTACTGCCATACATGGAAAAGCAAAACTTCTCCATGGCAACATGAGGGCAGCAAATCTTCCAACAGAAAAGAAACATAATGTACTTTTTTGTGCCCAACTGCACTCAGGCCTGAATAGTTTAACTTGTCAAATGTTGGTTTAAAAGACAATGGTGGCAAGAATTTATTTAGTAACAGTGAGCTGAAATATTCAGATGTGGTTTGACAGAGAAAGTGGAGATCGAATTCTCAGTTCTGTATTGAGAAACTCGACAAAATAGCCCTAGGGCTTAAATGTCATGTGCTTCTGTGATTTAGGTTTCGTTATCTGACCTAGTAACCTTTGTCTCACTTTCACCTCATATAGTTACATTTATAATGATATGATTACCAGTCGTTTTCTCTCTTCTTCTACTGTGCTCAAGAGCTGAGAAAACTCCTTCAAGGACTGAGCTGCAATCATGAGAAAATACAAGGTGTAAAGCCAGAATGGACTATTGAATTTATGAGAAGACATTTGGACAAAGTGACTCACCTATATTCATTTCATCGTCTGTCTCTGCGTCTCCAATACACTCAAACTGAAACTCCTGAAGAGACTGAGAGAAGCGCTGCACGGCCAGAGACAAAGCTGAGGGGGAAGATATGTTTAGGACATTATTAACAAGACCTTTGATGTTTCCTTTTTAAAACATCTGGTAACTATTGGTTGAGTACACTGCACCACGGTGAGACACTGCAGGTGAATAGGAAAGAATATTAAATTTAGAGATATCAATTTGAAACTTCTTCTGTAGTGTATTCAAATAAATGTAAGAAAAAATATGACATTATATTACAATTTACATTTTCATATATAAGATATTTTATGTGTAAAACAGCACATAAACAAAATAAAAAACATGGAAAGGCCCATTTTAAATTTTTTGCTTCACAATGTTATCATATACTAAATACTTAATACTAAGCTACACATAGAAAGGGGATTTGAGATATCTTATCTAGTATTTGAGTAAACTAAATATCACTGAAAAATAGCCTAAAAATTCTAATTTCGCCTACTTTTATGGAGATAAAACTTTAATAAATGAGACTTATGGTAACTTTGGTGTATGTAGGTGCTACTTTATGCCCCTATGAGAGAAAAATGCATTTTGAAAAAACAGCCTTTGACATTATATTGCCTCTTAAAACTCGATGGCTGTTGATTAAATTAAATATTGAAATCTTTCAGTGCAGAGTGGACAATATAGTCGTTTCAACGTGAGAGCTTGTATGATAAGACCAAACTGACCAAAAACGAAAAAATTTAAAATTTTAAATTTTTTGCCTGTAGTGTCTCCCCTTAACCCTCACAGGATGAAGACTGTGTCTGATCTGTGGTTTTCAACAGTTTACAGATCATAAAGGATTCAGGAAGTCAAAGCTCTCAAAACAGGTAGTGAGTGAACAGCACTGGCCAATGAGCAACAATACACTTACACATAATATAAGAGGGCTATTAAACAGTCTGTTAGAGAAGATAGGTTCTGCTTTAATTAACAGCGGCAGTAGTAAAATTAAGAAAAGCAGTCACTTTCACTTATGGGATTAATTATCTGTCTGTATTTAAATTATGACTATTCACCCCAGCATGCACTGATTAGAGATTACTGTTTACATTATCATGCCGTTTCTTATACACCATCAATATGTCTGGACTGACATAAGACTGTTACAAGGACCTCACTGAAAACAAGATGACACATCTCGAGTTGGTATTCCTCTTTATAAAGGAATGTCAAACCTGAGTACACCTCTTCAGACAGAAATTTAATCTGAAACACTGGCTAAAGGATTTGAGCAGCATAGATGAGTAAGAACCTGAAGTGGTTAGTGTTAATATTTATGGATGAGTTAAAATGGTAGAATCATCTTTGTATATAACTTTTTTCTCTTAGATGTAATAAAAGGAAATGGTGCTGTTTTGATAGTCATGTCTGTGAACTTTAGCTCTGCTATTTTAAAGCCACGTAAACACACTAAATTTGGCGAAGAACTTTTTATTCTGGGAGTTGTGACCATCTGAAAAGCACATGGACACAGTACTGGTCTGAGTGAAAAGGCTATTGTTGTTAAGGCACTAAACATCTCCAAAACAATCATAAAGAAAGAAGGTATTACCAGGTTTGTTCACAAAGTGCTAAATGTTGTTTGCTTAGGGCTTACACCACAAGGCCAAGCAGCTGGTCATAGTTAATAACCATTATAAAAAAGGTTTCATAATGACAAGTTACTGCAGAAATGGTTTGTTTACATGTATAGTATTTGTAAACAGAGACGCCTCAGAAATAAATTCTACCAACTATTAGGAATCAAATGCCAAAATAATGACGTAAGGGTTTTGAATATGTGTATAAAGAGGGGTGCTATGCCCTTTCATGGTGGTACTGTTAGTCATGTAGGCCTGTCTACATAACTTTTATGTGTTGTGCTATATTTAAGCTAGGAAGTCACAAAAATAATATGCAGTTAATATAAGAACATAATTACATGATAGTAATGTGATAGTAATAGTAATGAAACTACTATTGAAACTAGTTGTTATTTATTCAGCCCACTACAGCTCAAATTCCAGAGTATTACACAAAAATTAACCAAAATCTTCCAAATTTTTGAATGCTAAGTTGCAGCAGTAATTATCGTAATAGGACTGCTAAAGGATGTTTATAATATTTAAAGCTTTTATTGTGAATAAGAGGTCAAACAGATTGAATTCCTCTTGGACTCTTTGTCACTGAATTTGGATATTAACGTTTGTTAGAGCAGTTTTGTTAAGTGTCTGTACACTGACTTGAAAGTCTTCAGTTTGATCCCATTATCTGCTTTCATCAATGCATGCCATTGTTGTGTCCTTGGGCAAAACACTACCTACCTTAGCCCTTATATGAATCTATGAAGCAAGACTCATCATGTGCTGTACAGGAATTATATTGCACAGAGGAACCAAAACAACATTACAATACATGTTTGTCGATAAAGGAAGGTAGGTTCAAAGTGCACTGCAGTGCCTGGGCAAGACTTAAATTAATTTATGACTAGGCTATAGCTGTGTAATAGTCCTGAACTGGGCAAAGTACCAGGGTTAATTTAAAACAAAAGCTTTTAAAGGGGGTTAAGATGTCTGTGGTATAAGAGGAACTTTGTCAACACACTCAATCAGAGGTGTTGATCCTCTGTTATAATTAGGACTTGACACAAACACATTATTGTAAGGTTTCTAGGTCACGTGTTTCATCAATCATTAGAGCTTAATACATCGCATGTGTTATACATTTGTACCAAAAGGTTCATTTTTCTTGTTATTAATAACTAGCTATTAATACAGGAATACCAAAAGTTAGAAGTAACATAACAATGTGTGTCACAACCATGGATTTATAATGGTCACATAACTCTATCCCATGATTATAGACTAAGCATAACCAGCTTTGGACCTTTTGTTAACAGCCAAAGGCCAAGTTTGCTTGTAGTTATATCTATTGTACTTACCTCTAAGTGCGGATATGAGCATGTTGCCATCTTTAATAAGGTCCTTTATGAATCGGTTCGTCCTCTCTAGCTCTACTTCATGGCACTGTAGTCTTTCTCTGAACTCCGGGCTGTCTAGAAAAGAGTCACTAAACTCCAACGTAGGAAGACCCATCGATAAATAGAAGACTGCGTATTTTTAACAAGCAAATACAAAAGCTACAGTCGTCTCAAAGGGTGAGAGTAAATCGCGTTTCAGTGAGCTCTGGGAAAAGTGGCCAGCTCTTTTTCATGCCTTTTTCTTTTTTCCTTCGGAACTTCCGGACACTGGATACAGCAGCGCGTCTTACAAAGTTCAGAGTTAAAACTTGTCTTCTTGCTCTTTTCAACTATTTTCATATACTTGCGAAACAAAAACAGCACCAACAGTCCTTCCGATTGTTGTTATTACTGAAAGAAGTCAAAGATGTCATAAAAAGCATTTAAAAATGCAAAGTTTTGCAGCAATCAAAGCCGTGTCCGCGGCAGACAGTGAAGCTAATGCTCGCGGCTCTCAGCGGTTACTATGGGGACGGGAGACTCCTGCTGGTGCCTGAGGAAAACCATGGATCCAAATTTAGCATAAAAGGCTAATTCATACTCTGTAAGCACACACATAGCCTATATTAAAATCAAATTGTGTAATAATGTTTTACAGGGTCACATTTAACTCATTTAATAACGGAGATATGGAACACCCTCAATTAATAAAGCCAGTTCATAATAATATAGCCTAATTGATGTATTCTGTAGCCTAAATATATTATTGATAGGTCTTTTAAACATTTCTTTTACATTTTCTACATTACACATTATTATAGGTTTATTACATTATACTTTGAAGCATAGGACATGATTTATCATTAGAACCTGAAACATGCTGGGAGTTTATTATTATTATTATTATTATTATTATTATTATTATTATTATTATTTATATTATTTTATGTATTTATTTATTAACATTTGAGATTATAAGACATTTTACCTATAGTTAACAATCAAACTAAACACTCAACAATTTCCTACCTTGAGAAAATATAGCTGTTTAAAAAAAAAAAAAAAAAAAAGTAAAACAATTAGGCTATAGTTTCAAATTCTATTCTGAAACATGACAAGCCAAAACATGCTCTTTGCTCCAAAAGAGAAATTGCTGGGAAAATGCCAGGTGAAGCAAAGAGCACGCCAAACGCTCCAGGGTAACCGCAGTACAAGAGAAAGTATTTGTGTGATTTGTGCCACTTGAAATTATTTCCACCAAAGCATAATAATTCCAGAAATAGAAACAGGCTAGGAAAGAGCCAGTGCAATTTAAATTAGGCTGTCCTGATTTTTCTGTTTTTCTTTTATATATTTCATGTGCATAGCTCTAAACACCATTTTGAGTTCTCAGTAGGTGGTCCAGTTGTTTTATTGTCCCAGCCAGTGCCGCCTGTGACTACGACATCTGTCACTTACAAAAGAAGAATGAAACTCCATGGCAACAGTAATAAACATGCTGAGTATATCTTAGTACACACACTGTATACACCAATGGAGACAGGTTGCTGTAGAGCTACTTTCTATACGGCCAGGTAGGATGGGATTTTTGTTGCGTGTTTTTTTTCTAAATATTAGAATAATAATTACAGATATTTAAGTGTACTGAACTCTATTTTTAGCCTACTTGAGAGAACATGTGGAATAAGGAAAAGTAAATAAATAAGAGTGAAAATATATCTGCTTTACAATCAGATTAAGTTTTTGTTAAAGTTATTTGACTTCTTTTGTTTGCGTGTTACATTTACTTACTTTTTTTCTTTCTATCTATTTCAGAAAGTTAATAATGATGCCACTGAACCAACATCACCGTCTAGATACAAGGGATAAACTCATGCTTGAAAAGTCCAAATTAAAGCCTCCTCAACATCCACATGAGCTTTTGTTGCAACAGGTTCGACCCTATAAAGGAGAGCCCCCAGCAGTGGCAGGTATTGTGCCAAAAAGAAAAAAAACATTTGTAGATATGTATTTACAAATACAGAAACATGTGATGTATAGTGGTGTCATTGCTATAGGATTTCTTCTGTATCCAGACAATCCTATCAAGATGGAAACTACAACACAGGAGGCGTTCTGCTTTAGGCCTATTTCATTACAAGATAAAGGCAAGACCAGCCTCTAATCTAGTTAGCTAATCCAGATAACAGCCATGGATTGTATAAAATGTTAAATGTTAATGTTTCTAAATGTACTGTATTTTGATTACACAGGACATAAAACTGTTCAAAATGTGCATTACAATCATACAATAAAAACAGGAGATGTTGAGCTCAAAGATAATCAAAGTGATGCATCAGCTCTAGATACAATGCCAAATCAAGGCCCAGTTGACATGAAGTCTCAGTATCAAAAGGATTTCCCTCCTCCAACATCCTGTCGCCGAAGGAGAACTCCAGCTTTGCCACAACCAGACAATATTGGCATCAATCCAGCATTCAGGTAACAAGTTGGGGTTTCATAACATTATAGTGTTTGTTGTGTAAGTGTTGTAATGATATTAACAGATTTGTTGGGTTTACAGGATTGACTTCTGCACAGTTCAGAAAGAAACTTTTCCCTGCTGGCCCATTGGAAATCCTGTTGTTAAACATATTAATAACCTTCTGGGAGATAAGAACATGACAGAGACATGTTTCCAACATGAAGGATGTATTATTACCAAGTAAACACAAATATGTTCTAGTGTGCCCTAAACATTGGTTTCAGAGTGATAATAATTTCATACTATTGCCATGTTATATCTTGTGGGCAAATGCCATGAACAATTCACATGCAGCTGAAACTCAAATACTCTAGTGTTCTACTCATGGCATCAACTTCTTTGAGAGATTTGACCCTGATAACTTTAGGTTAGGCAGGGGTTTCAAACCAGTAGCTCATTTGCTATCAGTATCTTAGAAATTTAGGAATTATACATATTATGCTGAATAATTCAATATAGATTATTCACATGTCTGTTAAATGCATAAACATTTTATATGCCTTCCTATGTGCACTAATAAATGGATAATGGTTCATATCAATTAGCAGTTAATGTTCTTTACACCATCTAAAACTTGTCACGATTATACAAATTCAGTTTCTTGTAACCACTAGGAGTAGCTTTCTGCCATTTACGTTTTGTAAAAGTAGCTTTCGAGGGGAAAAAAGGTTGAAGAGAACTATGTTTTAGAGATGTAATGAGTAAATGTATTTGTGTCCACACTGTTTATTGATTAGAGTGGGAATACAAGCTATGCATAGAGTTGACACTAACACTACCTCTTTGACATTTTAATTGGATGACTTCAGACAGACTCACAACAAGAGTGAAAAAAACCCATGACTCACACCTGAAACTTGAACCTTTTTATTGTAGACAGCAAGGGATGAAAGACTGCGGCTGACTTACAAAACCACCAGTAATTGTCTATGAAATACATAATACTCTATTTTTAACTTTATAATTTTAGTTGTGCAATTGGTCCCACTGTCGGTAATATAGTTGTTGGCTGACTCTATTATATCTTTATTCTATCATTTAGGATTATGTTAAGATATGTTAATAGTTTCTTAAATGCAATATCTACTCTTACTGTGGTTGAGGTCACCAGTAATAACATCATCTGTCTGACTGACAATCTATTCAGAGTGAAACAAAATTTTGTCTTAAAAAGAAATGTTCTCCAAGTGAAAAAGTAACTGTGTTAAAAAAAAAAAAAAAAAAAAAAAAAAAAAAAGAACGATAGAAAAAAATATCATCTCCTTTCTCTGTGCCTGCTCCTGGCTCGATGCCAGCGGTCGTCTCTATTTCTATCCTCTCTGTCCCTACTTCCATAGTCCCGATGCTTTTCTCGGTCATATCTCTCTCTTGTCCCCGATCTGTCCCAATTTCTTCGTCCGTCAACGTTTCGATCTGACGCAGGGCCCCCACTACCAGGATCCCTCAAGAGATTGATTGGTCTTTGGAAAGGTCTGTCTCGGCCGCCAAATCGCAGCTGCCCGGACCCTTTGTTACCCCCTAGTCCACCTCCGAGCCGCCGCGGGACCCATCCCTTTAGAGTTCTTTCTTGTTCCATGTCGACAAAAAGTTCATGTTGATCCACCACAAGTTTGTCCGCCTCTCGCCAGGCTCGATACACGGCGCGCTGTTCCTTGTACTCAATGAAGGCGTACTTTTTGGAGAAACCCGTCACAATATCTCGCACAAGTCTCAGCCGGTGAATGTCTCCAAACTTTGAGAAAACTTGGTGCAATTTATCCTCGGTGGTGACAGGGTTCAAACGAGCCACGAAAAGAGTAAGCCGTGGATCCCCCAGAACACCTTTGTTGGGCTTATAGCGGGCAACCATAGCCCTAAAAATGGCACGATCATGAGGCTCATCATCGGTCCCATCGATACTTCCAGCTTTTAAGGGATCGTATTCCGTTGCAATAGGACTCCAGCCACTCATGTTAAAACTATGATACGGTATTGCTGATCTCTAGATGAGCAGCACCAAACATGAAAATCATCTGGTAAGATTTCGGTGTTTACATTTCTCTTCACTCCACTACAGTGTGAGTGCAGTACTTATAAACGTCCGGAGGGAACAAAATACTGGCATTAAACGTTCCTAGTTTTCACTTTTGGTCACTTTACAAGCACATTCAAAATGATAAAATCTAACTGAATAGGAATACATATGTGTCAGGTTTCTTTTGACAGAATTTTAATTTTAACAGTATGAATATACAATAGGGCTACTCTTAAATACTAAACAACCAATACCCTATATAAAAATATGTTAAGTGAAAAGTGGTTTGTTTGTTTTTTTTAACCAAAATTTGTATAAAACACCAAGAACACATTTGAAAAATGCCATTTCTAAAACACAGGGTATATACAGAAATTGATATTATTGACATTATTATTGAATTTTGACATTATGTTGTTCTGATGTTCAAAGTCCTTTGACATGCCATTTTCACAAAAATTGTACAGTGATACTATTTATCCTTAAAAAAATCTGGTCATTACATATCCTCTACACTCCATTTATAAGCTTCTTCTTGAACAGCCTTTTTATCTGCCATTCTTGCGTAGCGTTTCTGTTCAAACCCATTTGACCTGTAAGGAAAGCATTTTCAATACAGCACTATAAAAAACATTCAAAAACCCAATTTAAAGATATTTTTATAGAAGAGATTATACCTGTTAACTCCATCCCACCGATAACCAGGAAGAATGTTGAAACGATTAGGAGGTGGTGCTGGGCCTTTATACCGAGGTTTTTCTGTTAAAGACCGACATTAAAAAATATAAAAATCTAAGTGTATTTCCTGCATTAGTACTGAAATTAGTGTTGTTCCGATACAATGCTGATACTTGGCCTTGATGTCGTCGCCAGTACCAACACCAGTCCGATGTGGCATAGTGGAATGTTTTGTTACAGTACAAGTGCAAAAAATAAATCTTCTAAAAAGCTTTTTTTTTTTTTTTTTTTTTTTTTTAAAGAAATCGGCAAGAGTAAATCAGATTTTGAGGACTAAAGTATTAGTTAAATGTTTAATGGTCTTGACCATAAGTAGTGCAGATTTAAGCATTTTTACTTTTCTACTTTATCACTTTTTACCACAATGTATAGATTAAAAGACGCTCATCCTTGGAGCACATGGCTAATTATGCAGAGTAAACAAAGTCTGTGTTAGCGCTGTAATTGCTGTTGGCTGTGCTCTTCATAACTTTAGTTATTCTAATAAGTTGAGCATCCACAGCAAATTCTAAATGAAGATACAGTATTAAAGAGGTAACATAAGTATCTTTTCTGTCAATTAGCGTGTTTTAAATGTTTACAGAGCTTCTGTGTTTAACCTGCTCTGGGCATTAGTAGTAGCATTAGTTGCAGACACCGACAGCAGTTGCTTGGACCTGCGGTCCTCATTCAGGAAAATACAGAGTGGTTTCAGATTGATGATTTGGTTTGCGTACTAGTGATATGTTACCTGAAAAATGTGCGGTATCTGAGCTTATGTCGATACCGATATCGGAACAACCCTAACTAAAATAATCCTTTTGGAATGTAATTTTACCTTTAACACCCTGTGCCTTTAAATTGCGATCCTTCTTGCGTCTAAGCATTGCAGCCATTGGATCTCCTTCCCGTTCCTGTTCCCTCAACATTTTGTCCAAATCTTCATCATCATAATGCCGTGCAAGAGGTTTCTGGGATTCAACCAAGGCATCCTCAAGTCTCTGTTGGTGCATCTGACCCTGAGCCAAGCTAAAGCAAGCAAAATTAAATATAAATATAAAATTATAAATCAATCAATCTACACACACATATATACATACACATACACACATACATATATACATACACATACACACATACATACACATACACACACACATTATATATATATATATATATATATATATATATATATATATATATACACACACACACACATATATATATATATATATATATACACACACACACACACACACACACACACACACACATATAGATAGCTATAGCAATAAAGCATTTAAATTAGTGTGCTGAAACACAACTTACCCTCTTCCCCATTGAGCATATTTTTGATCCTTTGCTGCTTGTTCTCCTGCTTTCTTTTTCTGGTCTTCTCTCTCAGAGTCTAGATCCCGTCTTTTTCCACTCTTGTCTCGAAAAATGGTCTGTGCGTTGCGCGATTCATCTACACAGATAGAAACATACATTTTGACAGTCTATGTCCAGCAGTGGTCACACGAATCATTCAAGAAAGAAGTTTCAAACCTTCTAATGGTTGGTTGTTTCTGTCTCTCCGTTTGTTTTCTTCTTGCTCTCTCCTCAGAACATCTACAGAAACAAGACCAGCCTTTCCCCCCGAGAGCATTCTCTGGCTCTAAAAATATAATGAAGTATACTCACATAAATCTTTTACCTTTAAGAAATGAAAACTGAAATAAAGTTTAATGTAGCTCACATGTGACTGTCCTGGCCTACGAGGAGGTGACAGATCTTCATCCGAGCTTCTTCTGCTCTGAGGTCGTTTTCGAGGTGGCGACTGATCAGAGTCTGAATCCTGTCTTGCTCTGGACCGGCGTCTTGGTGGAGACTGGTCAGAGTCTGAAGCTTCTCTCATCACAGGCTTTTTTCGAGGAGGCGATTGATCAGAGTCTGAGTCATGTCTCTTCCTTCCTGGTGATGATCGATGATTTTTAGGCGAGTGCTTTTGACTCGAGCTGTAGTCACGTCGACTTCTCCTTGAAGGAGAAATATCAGGAGAGTCATGGCGATTTCTTCTTGGAGGAGAAGCATAGGGGGAGTCATGGCGATTTCGTCTTGGTGGAGATATATCGGGGGAATCATGGCGAACACGTCTTGGAGGTGAAATATCAGGAGAGTCATGGCGAATCCTGCCTAATGCAGCAGATTCTGATGTTTCAGTCTTATTTTCATTTCCATCTTCATCTCCCTCATTTTCATCAGCTGAAAAGAGAATAATCAATTTTAATACATTTTGTGGAGCTGTTTTACTAACTACACATATTATCATTATAATACCTCCAATAATTTTCCATCTATTACTGGATCTAAACACCTCAAGCCGTTTTATTTCTTCTGGTCGCTCATCAATCACTTCGGCAATCTGAAACATCAAGAGAAAAATAAATGGTTACAGTATGAAACGGTTCAACATACAGATGCTTTTGGATATTTTTGTTGGCATTAATGATCTCATAGACTCCACTGACTCAACGAGGAACGACTGCTTAAGATTGGTTTTAATGGATGAGCTAAAACAATCTCCTTACGGCCATTACATGCAAGGCTAGCACCACAACAAGACTTACCACGGGAGCTTCCTCATCTTCTTCTTCTTCTTCTTCTTTTTCTTTAGCTTCTTTAGCTATCTGCCTCCAGTCTATGTCATCGTCTACTATTTTAAGCCTTTAGGACAACAGAAATATAAAACTGAATTAGAAGTTAACGTAATGGTACACACTTTTGCGAGCCAATGTGTTTAGCATCTAGCATAACATCTGAGCATCATTACAAGTTACATCCGAAATATACAATAATGAGCGTACCCTTTTCCTTGCACTTTGGGTCGTTTCTTTTTAACCTTTCCTTTTGACTTTTTTGTGTCTTCACCAGATAAATAACGTTTCAGGTACTCTGCTTTGGATAACTCCGTAGCTTTACTTGTCCCCACGGAAGCCGCCATCTTTATTTTTGACAAAATTAAGGGAGACGGCAAGGGTCAAAATAGGGTAACTCGAGACAAACTACAACTATTGTGTAAAATTAATTAAAACCTAAAACCTTATCAATCTTCAAAAATGATCGATTTATTTCCATAAATCCATATATAGGCCTATTTTACCCAATACGACTTTAGACTTATTTTTCACAAATAAACAGCAGCACATTTTTATTAGAATGTTTTTTTTTATTTATAAACTAAACAGTCTTTTATCACATTATTTATATCCTATGCACATTATTATTCAAATAAAATAAATTATCATATTGCAATGCATGCATCTGACCAACATTTTATCTTTATCTTTCATTAAGTTAACAAGAGAGCTTATGTTGTAATGGCAAATGCTTCCTTATTATAATTTCTAAGCCATTAATGTCTCACAAATGGAGTTTACAGGCACATGTCCGCACATAGAGCACATGTACAGTAGATATTGGATATATTGCAATCCCACGGAATACTGTATGTCAATGCAATGTCAAAGGCAGATGGATATCATGTTAAGCTGCTATTGTACATTATGTGAAATATGGATGTGATGTAGGCAAAGAGTAAGTGTGTAATTTAATGATGCATTTGTTGAAAGAAGATGAGAAGACCCATAACCCAGATGCAGGAAGTCTTCAGAATCACTGCTGAACATGGAAGCAACAAATCTGTAAACAAAAATCAAAATGCAACATCAGTCACAAACTTAAAATTCTCATCTATTACCAGGAAGTTTGTACTTTTGTCTATGGTGATGGTGGCAACATTCCCGGAGATCTTGCACATGTAGGTGGTGTTGTGTGGGAGCGTCTCTGTGTAGCCAGTCAGCGTCATGCGGTACCCATGAGGCTCCAACTCTTCAACGTAGCTTTTATCCCTAAACTGGGTTTCTGCAGCAGCTCCAGAAACATTGGTGTTGATCACAGCCTCTTTGCTGCCGGACGACCAGGAAAACTCATAACTGTTAATGCGACTCGGTTTGGGTTCGACCAGGCAGTCAACACGAAGGTCCCTGTCATCCTCAATGCACACCGAAATGAAGTCAGACTTGGCTGGGATTAAAAACACTGTAATGGCACAAAAACAGTTTGGAATGTTCCTCATGCATTAATAATACTTTTTAACAGCACATAGCAAGCTATGGTCAAGTATTATTAAGTCATCCATTATTAATATTACTTTGTAAGGGACAACAACTTAAAAATGTAGACAATGCCATGTTCTACTACTGTCATTATAATTACAATTTAATTAGAGGTTCTTAAAAAGGCACCATGTAATTGTTTGTGGCTGGGTCTCCGCCCCCTGCTTGTCTCCATGGAGATGTTATATGTATGGCCTCAGTATGGCAGTAAACATATCTAAATTGTATTTATTTAATTACAGGTGTTTTTATTGCTATTAAATAAATAAAAACAAACATGCATCGTTAATGTGAGCAGACTTGCCTCTCCACAGTTTTGACCTGACGTCACCCTCTAGTCTACAAAGAAATATAAGTTTAAAGCCATAGAGAAGAACATCTGAGTAATCTCCATGGAGACAAGTGAGCCCCCACCAAGAAAAATCGCATGAAATGTCAAACAGTATATGAAACATAATTTAAAAATAATTAGAAAAGCATTTTGCTCCAAAAGTAACTAAATCAACCTACCTCCCAGCACTCCATAGAAAAACAGAGATCTGATCATTGTGAAGATGCTGTATTAAAATAAGACAAAAAGAATAGTCTTATTTAGAATGAAAGCACTGAGATATTGGCAACCCCAAGTGCCCTTCAAATTAGGAACATGTGCTGGAGTGACACACAACGATTTAAGACAATCTAATGTTACATAGGCTATGTTATTTGAGCATCACTTACAGGCTGTACAATGCTACTGTTTACATTCAGAACGAGCTTGTTTTGCAAGTCATTCTGCATCTCCTGTATCTCTGTCAAGCATCCCTGTGCAGCCTTACCTACTGTCAGGGCTGGAGTTTGTCAGGAGAATGTATCTTTTTTCAGCTGCGTAGCAAACAGCCAATAGATGGTTCAGGACACAGCAGCACCACAGAGCATCTCTCTTCTGGAATGATTTGGGAGAGAAATCGAGTGGTAGGGAGGCAGAGGGAGGGATGTGGCTAAAGTGGAGAGTGCTGATTTGCTTTTCTCTTCTGCAGGGGCTGACGGGACAGCTGAGCATGGCAGACAGCACGTGCTAGGACAAAACACAGGTCATCAGTTTTGGTCACATTAATACATGTCACATAAATTTTCCTTCTGCATTACATTTTCTTCTCATCCAGTGATATCACCCAGGGTTGTTAAAATCGTATATACAATTCTTTCACTCTAGACAGCAATCCATCATAAGGAAAGTCACCAGTCAGAATGATATAATTCTGTATGGTCTTGCATCTGAATAGAAAACACCACCAATGTCATTGAATGTTGCTCAGGAAATTTCTAGCATAGTCATACAAAATTATTAAATTATTTATAGCATACCTTTGTCGCCACCTACAGGCCACTAGAAATCATTCAAGTAAGTTGCGTCTGCGATAAATACTGATACGTCACATGTGCAACTTTATTGAAAAGGCTTTAAATGTGTCAGAAATATGTGACAGGTGTTTGTATATATTACAGTTTATGACTGCTGAAAAAGCTAAACTTCTGTTGTTAGATCCCAAAGGTATCGTGTAAATTTAGAACAATCCTTTGACTTTAATACGGTTAATAAAATGCGTGTTTGTAAAATATATTGCCAGTACATTATAGTCAAGTCTATGTGAAATTAACAATTCCATAGACTTCATTGTTCCTTTGGTGCCAGTGCAGAGGGATTTGGACTAATCCTAATGACCCAAACTATACTTACGCCCCACTCCATTCACTGTTCATTGAGTGTGCTGTTTTAAAATAGCCTGACCGAGCTTTTTCACTGTTTGGAGCAGAAGGCTCATCTCTCTCACTGACAGCTAGTTGTCGGTCGGTATGAGGGAAGGCTATCTCGGAAATAATCTGCCCACGCGTTAAGCTGCTTTATCCCCGACAAGCCTCGAGCGGACAGGGACTGCACCTCCACACAGCGCACCACAGGGGGGTCCGAGTTAGAGTAGAAGAAAGAAAAGTGGAGGGGTGCTACGTGAGGGGGTTTGGCACTTGTGCGCAGGGAGGGAGAGTTTGTGAGCGCGCTGAGCTCTGGCGCACCTATGGAGCAGAGCGGACCCTGACGACCTGAACAGCAGCAGTTTCAAAAGAGCACAGCGCATAGGAATTTTGTTCACTATAAGGGAATAATAACGGAGGTTCTGCCATGGAAAACAAACTGTGGATTTTAATTATGGGGATTTGTCTAATTTCAGGTAGGCTGAATTACAATACATTTTTAACTGGATGCTTACACTATTGTTTATAGTTAGGCTACTAAATAATGAATAAACAGGCTAACGAGTTATTCCTGATTGTGTTTGACTGCGTGCACAAGGCAAATGTTAGTGGATGCATATATAGGATATAGTATGGGTTTTGGCCTAATTCAACTAGGTTAATTTAAACTGTGTCTGTTAATTGATCAGTGTGAAAGAAATCATCCTGCAGATTCAGCATACTGACAACTAAACTCTTGCGTAGTTGACAAAAACAAAATAAAACTTAAGTGAAGCCAAGTGAAAAGTTTAATTAAATAACCCTGCACCCTGAATCAAGACTTTAAATCCTGAAGTGTTGTGAGTATTGGTCCTATTCTTTAATTTAATGTATACTGGATGCTATTGCTGATAGTAATAATGATACAAAGCTAACTTTTCATAGTCGTTGGTCACAGTAGAGATTTACAGAGATGACAGATGTATGTCAGAAATCCTCTTTTTTGAACTCACACAGTCCTTCACAGTGGGCACATTAACAAAGCTGGTAAAAATCAGATAACTAGAATAATCATAGCCCAATAATTAGATCTAATTTATTGTGTGTTTACATGCACCAATAAACCTAAAGATCAACAACACTTGGTGACATGTGTCAGTTAATGAATCTTTATTAAATAAATCTAATGAATTTTAAATGAACTCCTGTAGTCTTTCATTTTTGTCTTTTTGTCTTTCATTTTAATATGCTTACTTTGTAGAATATTGCTGTAAAAATGCACAGGCTTGAAGAATCAGAAAGAAATCAGATGTAACTATGTGCTTAACATTCCAATCAGATGGTGCTCTGATTTGTTGTATGTATAAACAATAGACCCAACCAGATTTATGTGTTCAATTGTTGAGCAGGTGTGTACTTAGCACTGATGTATCCTGTACATTGCACTTCCACATCTGTCCATTGTGTGAAAATGAATGAATGAATTTAGCTATTGTTTACTGTTAACAGGTGCAGTGGTGATTTTCCAAACATCCTACAGCTGGGATGTAAGCTGGAGCAATAGAACAAATGAGGAAGCGCTCTAAATGAATGGTTTTCAAAATGTGGTATGGGTGCCAGCCACTGGAGGTGCACAGTAGTATTTCAGTTTTACTAAGAGATTAAAGTTAAAGAGTAAAGTATGGCTCAGGCAGTGGGATGATTTGCCTGTCCTTTTTTTTCTACTTGATCAAGATCTCACTTTCTTTCTGTTATGGAATCATACAGGATAAGAAATTCTTTATTTATTTTATAGCATGTTGTACATGTGTCATGGAGCATTTTTAGATTAATTTAATCTTGTTTGTGTTCTGGTGAACAACTGGTGCTCTGGTGAACAGAGTTGGAGTAGTTCTCGTTTAAACCTGACATGATCATCTTGCCTTGGTTAAACGTACACTGTACAACATTTCTGGTGGTCTAGCACATGGATACGCCCAGGAGATATGCTTGGGATATTACTTTTGCTGGAATGTACCACAGTATGGTATTAAACTCACTTCTTATTTAACAGTAAGTGTTTTTGTTTTTTTTGTTTTTTTACAATAAAACAGTATCTTGAAAAATATGTATTCTACTATAAT